TAATACGTGTAATGCAGAGAGCGAAAGAGCGTGGGGTATCCGAAGGATAGCGTCGCAGAGATTCGAAAAGTCGGGATGATATTCCCAGGGTAAGATTGAGATTCAGTATTCGTACGAATATGGACAGGGACCGACGACAGACAAGGGCCAAGGACCGAGCTGCGAGCCTTGAAGTTGGACGGGCGGACCAAGAGTTGTGGAGAGTGAAGGAGTTGGACGATGAGATCTGACAGATGCGCTAGCCCGGCTGCGGTAAGCGTTTTCCGTGATCGATGCAGTTCCTGCAGACCGCTTGTTTCTTTTCTCAGATTGGTGGCCTGAGGCAGGATGAGTGATATTCAGGCAGCCACTGGTCAGGTATTGGTATGCGTGGGAAGGGGCAAGGAAGCATTCGGTGGGACTGCGGCAGGAGTGACAGGGAACAGGAAAGTGAGGCAGTACGTAGTGGCGGGCTGGCTGAGGTGGATATACCACGTGATCTCTACGTACTCAGTACCCTCCATTATCCAGCGAGAAGCTTGGAGGGCGGCGACCAGCCACCAGCACCAGCCACTAGGTAGCCACAGGTCGTGACCAGCTTGCAGTTGCCTGCGCCTTCTTTCTGTCCCTCCTTCTTCCTCTGTGCACCTTCCCGTTTCCTTGAATACTTCCTGCAAGTGTGACCTCAGCCCGGAGCGGGCGCCTTGTGTTCTGATTGGTCAAGAAGGCTGCTGGGGTAGTCTGGAGTAGCATATGATTGGTTAGAGAATTGATAGGGCGGGATGGTAAGGAAGGAAGGAAGGAACTCCAACGAACACCAAGAAGAGTAGAGGAAGGACCTATGTAGCTACCTGTCTCCATCGTCATCTTCCTCAATCTCACCCCTTGCAGAACTGCACATCGTCTTGCTTCTCGATAGTATGCTGCAATTCTCTCCATCACAATCAGTGGCTTGCGGTCAGACATTGTAGCCGCGCTCGGAGAGTTTCTGTTACTCTTACCCTTCGCTGTCTTCGGATATTTCGGTCTGCTTACGGTTACGGTGCCGCATAGACAAGCAAACCATCGTGATCACCGAGAGAACCACTTTCACGATACTAGGAACTGGCCTACGGATTGACTATGTTCCTCCTGGACTGTCAATCGCAGGCTGTACATCACCACTTTCACCGCACGGCAGAGCTCCATCGAAGCCTAGTCTGACATTAGGTATCACATCAAGCTCGCCACCAATCGACCGGCCTCCATGGTAGCGATGGCATCATAGCCTGCCACACCACTATGAAGAAGCGCATCATGAATGATGAGTCTCTGCTTTACCAACTTCCTGAGCGAAATCCCGTATCAACGTCCATCTACCGCTAGGCGGCACGAGTAGTTCGACCAAAGAGACAGACGCCCGTGGAATCGAGACTCAGACTCTGCCAGTCTGCCTGGACCAAAACCCGGAGCCCGGGAGGCGCGCGCTGGTTGCTCTGCTCAGCTGTGCTTGCAAACTTACCGATGATCACACTGGCGAGGGAGTTGGGACTTCCGACTTCACAAGTTCACACACACAGACGATGCTACACTGCATCGTGAACCACGGGCGCTATGCTACAACTGGACGCCCGAAATTGCCTATTGGGCTGGCGAGATCAGCCTCTGCAGACCATTATATGGGCCCCCCGTGGCCCCTTCACCATCATGATCCATCATGATCCATCATAGCTCCGTCGTCGACAGCCTCACTCGTCGGGAGCCTGCGCCTGGGGATCCCTGTATAGCGGCCCCATCAAGTCGTTACGAGGCTGCTCTCGCTCGCCTGCAGCCTCTGCATTTCTTCCATTCCCGAATCGCCCGGACTGGCCAGTGGCACGCACACATGGCCCATGGACTACGCTAGAACGGCACAAGGTGACAAGACTCCAGAGACGCTGCCACTGCGCACCACACAGACCACATACTTTTTGACACCACACCATCACGGCCATACCACCCATGTCTTGTCGACGTTCGACTCTCTCAAGTCTCACCTCTCTCAACAATCAGCACTCTCTCTTTCGCGGCTCGCCTGCATCGCCGTGCCAAAATGACACACGATCCTGGCCTCAGGCATGGCTGCTTCAACCTCAAGCAACCCTGACAGCGAATCAACTCCAGCCAGTCCCTCCCCGTTCTGCCCGTTTACCGCTCCGAGCCACACAGACGTGCAGCATATTGCTGCAGACTGCAAAGACCTATGCACCACACGCACCCAACCAACGCAGCGTTGCGGCGTCTACCAAGCCTGGATTGCGGCGTGCAGCGTCACGGCGTGCCTAGGGTCAAGTGTACGGCAGACTCCAGAGAAAAAAAAAAAAAAAAAAAAAAAAAAAAGAGAGAAAAAGAGAGAGACCTCACAACATCAATCTGCTTGTCCATTCAGCGCCCGGCACGCTCAGGTTGCTTATCCACTTTCTTTTCATGGAACTCAATCCTGGCCCGCCCATTCAAACGGTCGTTCGCAATCTCAGGCCCATGTGCGACCCATGACCACGTTGGCCGCCGTCACTGGCCAGGATCAAAAGCCCATTCCAGAGGCAAACCGAATCCTCCATCGTCCGCCCTGAGTCTCCACACGCACCGAGTCCAGGCCTGCTCTTCCGCTTGCTGCTCCGTAGATGCTGGAGTTGCCGCTGCTTCGTCTCCGGCCAAGCTGGCCACGGGCACGCGAACCCAAGGCCGACATGGAAAGATTTGGCCGTAAATTTCGAGGCACCACACTCCGCAGCTCATCATTTGCAGAGAGGCTACCGTGTCCTCGACTCCGCCAGCCTTTACCTACTGCGTATTCGTACCGAGTCTGTGAAGCCTATAGCGCTGAATCCGACCCCAGGGCCCTGAACCCGCTCTTACACGTCTAATCATGCTCTCAGTCTCGGCTCTACTGCCATGCTCTGGTCTGACGAGACCTCAGAGGCTCAGACAGGCTTGGATTGACCGGCCAGAACGGCCCACAACCAGTTTGAAAAGAAAAATATCATGGCAATGATCCGTCCGTCGTCAAACGAACTTGGTACCCTAATCGAGTTGGCCGCGGACTGCCAGCAGCCAGACCAGCAGACATAGCCAGCCAGCACATAACTGTGCACCCGCAAATGTGAAGACCCCGTCTTCACTGTTTGGCAAAATATGCAGTCTACCCGGCCACTCGTATGGACCCGACCATACATAGTATAGAGGACTTAGCTCGGCACCAACTACTTTGATAGTCGCTTGCGCAGAACATTACTCATTGGCTCGTGTTACTAGCAGTCATGATATTGACGCAAGCATCCTAAAGTGCTTCTCAATAGGTGATTGGCTGTATGTGTCCTTGTCGACCAATCATGGCGCTACAAGCGACCTACGCTTCACAACTGTTGCTAAGAAAGAATGTGTGTGGTGTACGTACTCCGGAGTTGGTGCAGCCACAAGGTGGCCACCAGGTGGAAGATGACCGCTTGCGAAAAATCCGGAAGCCAATCAATGCTCCCGCGAAGGATGGATGGGAAGCGACGGGCATCCTGTGAGCAAAAACCAGATCTGCTTAGCATTGATCCAGTCACCAGCCTGCGAGGCAGCATCTGCAACAGAAAGGCTGACCGGCCACCGAAGCCCACACTCATCAACTCCCGGACTTCATGCAAACAGCTTGCCAAGCGCCACAGAGGCTCCAACGTCAGCTACGAGACCATGACAGTGAGCCAATTAGGTCGCGGATGGCACTGTTGTGACTGGGCATCCCAAGTCGCCCGCTCTCAGTCGGTGTTTGGCGGTAGTCACAGATTGCCCTGCTACCAGCTCTACCCGGTGTCAGCAGCGTTTTTTTCGACCTCGAACCACGCGGCATTGATGATAGCTGTGGCTCAAAAGTACGGGGCTCTGCATCAAGCCATAGCATACCACGTCGCTAGACCAGGCCGAATACTCCCAAGTCGCGGTGAAGGAAGATGTGTCTCATTCGATCATCGTTCGATTGAGATTCCATGCCCGGTTCCGACGTTCCCCCAAGGGGGTTTTGTTCAAGCGTGAGGCTTTCCTCCATTATCCTACGGAAACGGGCACGTTCGCCCTGCGGCAGGCGAGACACGGGCAGGCTGGATAGAGAGAAGAAAAGAAGAAGCTGCACATCACAGGTCACAGGAGGCCTATGACGATGGCTCACTCAGTATCGCTCAGGGAGGGCGAGCCGTAACAGCGAGAGCACGGAGCAGTCAGTCACCAACAAGGCACTGGGCCTCTGATTGACAGCAAGAAAGCTGAGAAGGGAAGTGAAGGGAAGGGAAGGGTACACTAGAGCAGCGGACAGTCTGTGTTCCCTCCGCCAGGGTCGTCCCATGAGTGCTTGGGAGGCGACGACTCACGCACGCCCCGTTTCTTCGACACCCATCGACCATCCGTTTCGTCTGACACACTCAGCCAGTAGCGGTGGCAGGGGTATATGGAGCACGGCTGGGGGTGGTGGATAAGAATCAATACACGAGAAGTGAGGAGTGACACAACTCACACCCACTCACACTTCACACCCCCTTGGGACGGGGCCACTTTACCTGGTGCGTCAGACAATACCTGCTCGTAAATTGCGCAGAGACGCCAATCACGACTGCTAGTGGCATCCTGGTGGCTGCTCCAGCAGAGAAACTCTGCCGGTCACTTGTCCACGCCTCGGCACGACCACCCCCCCTTTGGCTCCACGCCCCCTTGGCCCTCGACCTACTGCGTAGCTCCAAGCCAGGCTCTCAGGCCTCAGGCTCTTCTATCAACTCTAACCCACTGGCCCGCTGCTCATGTCGAACTCAAGAATAGACGGTGCATTGGTGGATCCATGGCTAAGACATGGCAAGCCGCTCATCCCTGCTCTGCTAATATCGAAGACGACTGGGGTGTCCTTGGAGCCACCGGCCATGGTGGATGCTCCACGCAACGCACTTTGACATGGGTACGTAGCCGTAGCGCTAACATCATTTCGCCTCGTTCCTCATCGGGGTGGTGGCAGTCATTATCAACCACCCATATCCCACCATCGTGCAACTGGCTCGACCTGACTAGAGACTTCAATCATCAACTCTTCCACCACGCTCCTTCCCGTCGACCTCTTCACATCTCTTCACGATTCTTCGGGAAACTGGAATCTCAGTCGCCCTTCCACCTCTGCCTCACAACAGACACCGACCTTCATCGACCTCAGCTCGCTACCCATCCCGCACCAGGCGACAATTACGTGTTTGACTCGTTGACTCGACGTCTTGCACTTTCGACCTTTCTACTTCCTCAGAACGAACCATAGGACTATCAACCCATATCAGGCCGTAGGATAATAACCCAGGACTTTTACTTTGGACTCCCAGGACATACCAACCCAAAGGACAGGCCGTTTCTACTTTTTCCTTCTTCTTCTCTTCCACTTTGGATCTCGCCTTCGAGACCCATTACAAACCGCCAGAGAAAGGATTCCCATTTGGACCCGCAAAAATCACATAACATGCAGCATGTATCAGGATTTGGCTATCCCACCCCTCCCGCGTCGCCGGTGTACGACAACACAAAGTGTTCGATCCAACAACCCATCACGACAGCACCTCACTGCCAGGCACGATATGTCCCGCTAACACCAGAGGCGAGACTCGGAAGGTTTCTTGAGGGCAAGTTGCAGTTGCAAACCATTCTTGGTACTGGCGCATATGGCGTCGTATATTCCGCAGTGGATGTCAAGACCGGAGTCCGTTACGCCGTCAAGTGCCTCAGCAAATTCAACCCAGATGGAACCCCATTGGATCGTCGACAGGTTGCCTTCCAGAACCGAGAGATTCGTCTGCACTACCTGGCGTCGGCCCACCCCAACGTGGTGTCGATGCTCAAGATTGTTGATGACCCGGACTGCATCTATGTTATCTTGGAATATTGCCCGGAAGGTGACTTGTTCTTCAACATCACCGAGTGCGGTCAGTATGTCGGGAACGATGACCTCGCCAAGAGAGTCTTCCTGCAAGTATTGGATGCCGTGGAGCACTGCCATTCCCTCGGAATCTACCACAGAGACTTGAAGCCGGAGAACATTCTCGTGTCGGACCAAGGATCAACAGTCAAGCTTGCCGACTTTGGCCTCGCAACCTCATCCGACCGGTCAGAGGACTACGGATGCGGCTCAACATTCTACATGAGTCCAGGTAGGCCATCCATTCCCAGGAATTTTCCTACTTCTATCAAACCCCCTGATCACCACTAACGTGTCGCTTCTTTCCTTTTTCTAGAATGCCTGGACCACTCCGCCCGGAGACCTTTCTACCTCTGCGCACCAAATGATGTCTGGAGCCTCGGAGTCATCTTGGTCAACCTGACCTGCGGACGCAACCCATGGAAGCAAGCATCCTTTGAGGATTCTACTTACAGGGCTTACACCCGATGCCCGGAAACTCTGAAGAGCATTCTCCCCGTGTCGGATGAACTGAACGACATCTTGGGGAGGATCTTCACCCGTAACCCGGATCAGAGGATTACTCTTGCCGAGTTGAAGGCAAGAATCCAGGCTTGCTCCATGTTTACCATTCCGGCGAGGTCGACAGCTGTGCTCTCGACTACCCAGGTTCCGCATGAGCACACTACCGAATACGTTACTAGCGAGGACACGATTGTCGACGACTACGACAACGCCCTCTCACCCGCTTCCTCCTCCTCAGACGAAGGATCCACCTGTTCTTCTGACGAGGGCTCGCTCACCTCAAGTGGCTCGACCATCGATGACCTTGATGAGGACTTCCTTCAGGAACAGCAGGAGACTATGGCATGCCATACCCAGACATACGAACCAGAGGATACCGGAGCAACATACTTCCCCACACAGGACTACATCCCTCAACAGTATACTGGCCCCGTACCATCCCAGCTTGCTGGACCTGAGTCCTTCCGTGTCCAGATGGCTGTACCAACACCGGCTCCTGTCCAGGCTCAACTGCAAGCGCCCAGCTGTCCATCCAAGTCTTTCGTCCAGTTCTGGTGGGGAGATGTGTTGAAGTATGCTCAGCAGGCCCCTGCTATTCATCCTCACGTTCCATTCCACCACCAGGTTCCCATCTTCTCGCATCCTCAAGGCTGCTACTAGGAACAATTATCCGTTACGCCAACTCATGTCCAGGACCATCCCAATCCTACCTATCCTGGAGAACATGGCGACATCAATTCAAACAAAACAACTAATCAACGTTCATTCTCGTGGGCCATCCATGAGGACACTTAATTCGTTACGAGATACGTGGACCATATTACCTTTTGGATTTATCTTCCCGGAATGGAATCTTCAAAAGTCGTGCGAAAAGGACCTGAATTTGTCTATTACGCAAAGGCGCTTGTAAACTTGCTGGAGCGGGGTTTTCTTTTATTGTTTATTCTTTCTATGTCTTCAGCGCGGAGTTGGGAACCGGAAAGCAAAGAGTGACGGTGTGTTGATGTCGAAAACTATGGAAAGCATATTAGGCGCAGAAGGGGGATACAGACCAAGAGGCAGGAAATCTTTTCATGATTTTTACTGGGAGGCGGAATATTCTATTCTGACGCATTATTGCGCAAACGGCTTGGGGAAAGGAGCCTTCATAGGGCCACTTTCCTGGCAATCGTTTGGATGATACCAGATTCTTCTTTTTTTTTTCTTTTTCTTTTTTTTTGGGGGGATGGATTTGGGCCACTTACAGGAGAGAGGGATTCAGTTCACTCAAAGCTGAGGAAAAGACGGTTTAGACAATACCTGGGCCAAGAACCCAACCGCCAGCGGATATGTTCGCTGAACGGAGACTCAAGCTGGGAACAAAGCCCTCCAAACGAGTACGGGCTAGGGACAACGACCAGAAAGAAAAAACTGGCGCCTACCAATGAATACAAACATTCAAACACCCCAAAACAAGTTCTTCCCACGTGTACCTGTGAATGTCTCCTTGTCTAGAACGATTTACTCCATTTGAAAAGAGTGCGAACACTGACCTTGCCAAAATGGTGCTTAGCTAAGGCGAAGGTGGTGGTGTTGGTCGGAAGCGGCGGGATGAGGCAGTCTGTGGTTCTCTAACCTTTTTTCTACGTAATGGCCTAGAAAAGGGTGACATTCTTTTTTTTCCCTTTTCCTTTCCCACCTTCGGTTACGGTTCTTCCAGAACGTCTCGAATAATTCCATTCAGTTTTACGAGGGAAGAAAAAGTTAAGGGAAACCCTCCCTTCTCCGAGTCTCTGACAACTCTGAGGGATGGTTATTCCCTACTCGAGTAATCTACGGTCTACCTTGTATTCTGTAGTTGAAGACCGCCCAAACGCGCGAGGCAGTGAGGTGGAGGAGAGGGAATGCGAACCCCCCTCCCCTTCTTGAGGATGTGTCCCCCCCAAGCCTTTTCCTCGCAGTCAGGGAAGAGCCATGGTCTTGTTCGGCTTTACTGTGTAAAAGGCGAGTTTGTGTCGAGCGGGCGGTATCCCTGATGAATTGTTCACTTTTCTAGGACTGACATTTTTTTTTGACAACCCTTGTTTTTCCTCTTTTTCCCCCCTTCCACGTCTCTTGCATTTGGGGGATAGGCCTATCTACTCTGCAGGAAGACAATGTGCGCACATCTGTAAGCGTGCTAGGCGGGACATGGAGAAGGGTGCTGCTGCTCTCGCCAGAGAAAAAAGAGTCATGAGAAAGTGCAGCTTTCGAATGGATTGTGCAACTATGCAAACTGACTTACTGCACGGCAACTGCGTCGCTCCATAGGAAGAGCACGTTCCAACCGACCAACACTAGAGGGGGGGATGAAGATCACACACTCCAGCTTTTCTTCTTTCTGGCTGTGCCCGCAGTAGTAAGCACGCTCTAAGAAAGGCAGGGCTGTCGAAGGGGGATGGATTCAATGGATCGGTGGTTCTGGCTCTGGTGGTGGTCACTTCTGGCGCTGGTGCCGTTCTCGAAAGGGGGGCTGGCTGGCTGGCCTCGCACCGCTTCGCTGTACACTGGTTTCCGCGATGGTGCTGCAAACATGATTGGACGGTGAGCACTCTGAAAGATGTGGGAAACGGTCATCGTTCGCCCTGTTTTCGGTGGTGCGGGTGGTATGGGTGAGTTGCGTCGAGGTGGTCCGTTCTATCCTCCCCTTCCAAGTCTTGTCTTATCCCCCAGTTCTCTCCAATCATGACCCCTGTGCCTATAAGTCACTGCCGTAGTGTGGTGTTGGTAAGTGTTATTCTTTTTTTTCCTTCTTTTCTTAATTGTTCTTGGGACCGCAGGTCCGCCCTACCGTGAGCCTTGAGGGCGGAGGTTGATGCCCTCTTTGGGTTTAGAGTGTACGAAGAGGGTTTGGGGTGAGACCGATTATAGCCCTGGTGGCCCTGCCAATATTTTTATTGTATTGTTTCCTTTTCTTGGAGCGAAAGTGTGACGGTGCCCACTGCCCAGTGCCAACCTGGGCAATTTTCTTTGGTGCATGGGTCATGGATTGTCACCAGCTGTTGCTGGGAGTGGAAAGTCTGAGCAGAGCAGAGAGTCCCCTGACGGCTGGAGAAGAAGAGAAGAAGGTTGAGCCTTGGTCGGATTCGGGCTCGTGCCTCGGTGACTGGGGGCTGGAGGGTTCGGGATAGGACGCGCGCGATGTCATGTAGTGACATTAGTTGTACGGATACGGTTGGTTGGATGCCTTGAAAGGGGGAGGATCGCAATGTATGCAGAGGTAGTAGCACCAGGAAGAAAGGTTGCGGGGGGCCTTTCATTAGTGTATCCAACCGGGTCGTATCGTTCAACTTTCCCAACGTTAGGGAATCCCCGAAGATTGGCACACTGGGAGAGAAACTTGGGAGACAGTGAGGTGGACTTGCATGGGGCCTGTTTGCGCCGTTGTCACCTTATTACGCATGCGGCACGGCGGAGGAAGGGTTGTAAGGTAGGGACGCCTCGGGCGTTGTGTGGTTTGGGCATGGAAGCGTGTGGGTGGAGCAAAGAAAAGCACCGGGCTTGCATTTATGGAATGATGGATGGGGTGGCCATGGGCACGGCATGGCACAGCACAGCATGGCATGGGAAGACGCGATAGCGAATCCCATCGTGGTGGGCATGCATGTAGGCAACCCTGTTTGCGATGAGGGTGGCCGAGGCACTGGAGCGTCAGCCAACTAGAAGAGGTTTGGAGGAGCGTGTGAGAGGTTGCAGATATGGAGAGATGTGTGTGAGTAGGTATTCCGTAAGTGTGTGTATAGGTGGCTAGCTTCATTGCTAAACATGCAAGTGTGTGCTTTCGGTGGGAGCCGTCAGCCTTTTTGTTTCTGTTTTATTCCTTCACTTTTGGTCATTATTGGGTTGCGAGGTTTAGCACTTTACACGGCCACTTTCTGAGGCGAATCTGCTATTATAACTTGAGTATAGCATGTCTCGGTGTGGCCTGGTGGGTGGATGGGGCCAAAGTGCTTCGCTCTCACAGTTGGAAGTGTATGGAGTTTTGGGATGACATGTCGTCTGGCTTACACTTCCGTGCTTCCCGCCGCGCCCTCGAGCACAAGGAGGCGTCTTACCGGATGGACGAGACGAGGTGGGGGGCTCTCAAGACGAAAAGGGGCTTGAATAGGCATAGGCAAAAGACGCATCAAACCACGCGAGAGGGATAGCCAAGCGGGATCATGGGATAGATGAAAAAGGATGTTTGAAAGAAAGGACTGGAATGAGTTAGCGTGCCATGTGCTAAATGTGATGGGTTATGACGATGGACGACTAGGTAGGGCCAAGTTCACTAATCGAACACGGCAGACAGAGAAAGACAGAGGGAGAGATCAGTTGGCCAAGAGTAAAGCTGGCAGCAAACTCTCTGGTGGGCGGTGGTCGGTGGTGGTGGGTTTGGTTTAGCACATATTTGGTGTGGTTGGGTTGGTTGCCAGTTTCGCCCGAGAGTCCTTACCCACGATCGCTGAGCCGTGAGTGGCTTGAATCACTTGACTTCCCGCTTGCGCTAGGCCTTGACAGCAAGCAGACGCATGTTCTATAGACTAGCTTACTGGGGGGAAGCTCAAGTATGCCGTGGACACGGGTGAGTTCTGACTGGTTAGGTAGATGCTGGCAGCTCTCAACTCTGCGGGTGATTTCTTAAACCTTTTCGCATGATGAGGTGATGAGCGGTATGGACATTGGATGCCGACTGACAAGTCTTGAAGGGGCAATTACTGTAGTGAGCGAATGCTGGCCCCACCGTCCGATGATCGCAGCCTGTTTGTGGTGCCATCCACCGGAGTTATTGGAACGACGGAGACGGAGACGGCGGCCGCGGCGCACGGCGACAATGGAACACCCGGCCGGGGGTTGATATGTGATGTTGGATGGAAGTGGAGTTTGATGCGGTGTAGCACTGTCATGTTCGGTCTATGATGGAGAACGATAACATTCCTGGCTGAAAGATCTGCTGATACTGCCGTTGGCGACACTCTAGAACCGACAAGCGAGAAGCTCGCATTCATCAGTTGGCTCTCTGCTGGACTTGTTGTCAACCAATCTCAAGAGTCCGAAGTCTCTCTTGCTGTGACTATGGTTCCCACCCATCCACACTTTGTCTTAGGTTGGGTTGGTCGCTATTTCTACGGGCTCTTCCCCGGTAGACGATTGAGAACTCTATTATTGTCTTGGCCGTCTATTCGTGCCTTATGGACTACGAAAACTGTGGGTTATCAACTTATCGTCCTTTTTTAATCTATCTTTTTGACAGCTCCGGCCAAGCTTTGCGTTTGACTTGTGATAGAGTTTGACCGCGTTTTGAAAATGGGGTGGGATAAAAAAGCAACGGAGACAGGGTTTGGACGTTTGGGAGAAGGCAATAATTCTGCTCTGCTGCGGTGTCGATCATTGGAAAGGGCATAGGTTGGCGAGTCGCTTTCTCATCCGGCCCCTGCTCCTGTTTGCTCGTTTGGGTTCCTCGTAGCGGTCGTTGTGGGCACCGGCGAGGGTTATTCTGTCTTTCTTTGGATATCGAGCAATCACTATGCGGGTGGTTTCAATGCAATGGATGCATACTGTCAGATTTGGCATAATCAGAAACTGGTTGAAGACTTCTACATTGGTTGACAAGGCCGGGTTGGCCATATCGTCCTCTGCTTTGAGGCCCTCGCGAACAACCCCTGCAACTATTTTTCGTTTCTTGCAGCATTGACAAGTCAGTTGATGGGGAACCCGATATGCCGGGTATTGGCTGCAAGCCGCAGGCCGCAAGCGGACAGGGGCACGAAGGGGGCGGTGAGGGAAAAAAGGTCTAGGCCCCGGCTCGAGTTGGACAATGTGGGAAACGACAGATCTATCGGGATACAGCGTGGCTTGATAGATGCCAGAGAAAAGCTGTATTTCCCAAACGTGATTGGGTGGGATGGAACCTGTCCTCGACATTTGCCTGCATTGAGCTGAGCGTTGTCACTTTCTCCTCCCCGCAATTCATGGTGGCGATAAGCCAGAGCTCTTCGTTGTGATGGAGACAAAACGAACAACGAATAGCCGGAGCCACTAACATGATGGATCATGGGCGAGTCTTCACTGGTCTTTGCGGTCTTTTTTGTTCCTCTCCCCCTTGCACTTGCATCTAGTGGGCTCACTGGGCTGGCGAATTGCGCTTTTCCAGGCCCCCCGCCAGCTTACGCCGGTAGTTGTTGAAGTGGTTCGGAAACGTTCCCGCGGCGTGGCCGGGGGGCTAGAGTTGAAGGGCTCTATTCCACTTTGGCACATAGTCTTGGGATGACACCTAGTACCTTGGGCCGCTTCTGTGCATGGCGCATGATGGGTTTGATATTGACGGGTTTCTGCCCAAGTATGGACAAAAGGAACGTACGAAGAAGGGCGCGTCTAACGGGTGGGGGCGTTCGATATTCTTGTTCCTCTAGAAAGTCTGGAAGGCGACCACCGGGGGGCCGCAGATGA